AATGATAACATTACACATGTCTCAAGATCGAAAATTTGCTATACTCGTAATCATCTTTTGCGCCTCTAGTGACAATTATCAAAATTTAATTTAATTCCATGAGCAAAAAAAAAAACAACCTTCCACTTCTTATGGCATGTACAAAGCATGATAACTAGTCTAATTCCATGCAATAACATCTTAACGTAAATTTACAATTAACTCATGCTATATTCATTGAATAATAAATTAAATAAATAAATAAAAAAACTAATCATGTTTCTCAAATCACAACATATTACAAACTCTAGGCAAAAAAAACAATATGATGTGTTTAATATTCAGATTATGCCATAACAAAAAGTAAATCATTTCTGAATTTTTTTTGGAATTTTCTGGTATTTTTTAGAATTTTAAATAATTAATAAACACACATAAAATCATAAATAAATATTTTAGAATATGAGAAAATGCAACAATCATACCAGTAAATAGTAAACCATTACAGTAATCTACAGTAAAAATTTCAACCCCAGAAACTTAGTCATGCAACACTAGAAGCATTTTAAAACAAAAATAATGAATTATTATTTCAGGAAAAATATTTTTTATTTTCATAAAATTTTGAAAATTTTGTAATAGATAAAAAATTTAATTATGAGTCTAACAGTACCAACCACGTTTAAAACAAAGCTAAAACGAATTATTTACGATGATTTAAAGCAATTCTGAATTTTAAAAAAAAAACAAATAGAGCCTTAACATCCAGTAGCCAAGCTAACCAAGCCAGCACGAAAAATGGCGCGGCTTGGCTCAGTGCAGAGCACTACGAGCGCGTGACAGCGCAGAAGACGCGCGCATAGGAAGCGCAGCTAGCGCGTGATGACGCGTGGCAGCGCGTGGCCGCTCGCTGATGGCGTCATCTGGTGCATACAGTTCACGAACTGCCTTCCGGGGTGTTTTTTGGTCCAATTTTGGTGTTGTCGGACTTCATTTTCCAATATAAAAACAATAGTGGTCTCAAAAATGATATTTAACAAACATAAATAATGGGGTGTATCACACACTCTCTCTAATGAGAGTGGAAGTATAGAAACTCTGCACTTCATCTTTTTCCTTAAGCTACCAAAAAATCAAAACGATCCCAAATTAGGATTTGATTTTTTTCATCAACCATAAGTCCAAATCTAACAAATAATATATGGTTTCGGAGGTCTTGATTGTAGACTGAAATTAAAGCACGTAAAACCATCATGCAAAGTTTTGAGAATATAAAATAGGTCTATATTTTTCTTGCAATCTAACCGTTGGATTTTCATAAAACTTTGCAGATATATTCTACATGAAATGTACTACAACATATGCAAATTTCAGGTTGATTGGAGAACGTTTGAAAAAATATTAATTTTCATGCATATATCATGTATATATATAACTATATACATGTTTTAATGCATAAAAATAAGCACGAAAATACTCATTTATGGCTCTGATACCAATGTTAGATACAGATAACACAACAGGTAAAAAGATTCAAACCATACCTTAAGCGATAGAATCCGACTCGAAGAACTTTGTGGATAAATCACGTGCTTCACAAACCACGAACTATGAACACCCAGCAATGGAGTGATACCATAGAATGAATATCATCCACACTAGTCATAGTGCAAAGGCTTGATCATTATTCTGGGAGAGAGTTAGAGAGAGAGTATGGGAAAAATCATTCGTTATTGGATTCATCCCACATCCCATATACCGTATCAGATATATAGGCTGACTATCTAACCATCTATCAATATCTCTTGATAAGATATGATAGATATAGATATTGATAGTAAGCTATCCAAAAATAGTATAGCTATTAAATTCAAATTCAAATTTAATATGGGTAATCTGAATGTGTTATGGGTCATGCCACATGGCCGCCCAAATCAGGGCCCAATACCCGGCCCAATTTCTAACACCCTTCAAGACCAAACACTAAACTCCGTCCATGGCCAAACACCTATCTCCATGGCCAAAAACTTCTTCATAACCGAACTCCTCAACCTATTCTAAGCTCCTTCACCCATGGCTAAACATCACTTCCATGGCTGAAAAATACCCAAGCCGAACATCTCCATAACATTATCTCCTAAGCTGGTGACCCCCAAAAAACACCCCATGGCCGAAAACTTCCATGGCCTACACCCCTCATTTAATAGCCGAAAACCTACCAAAGCCTAGCCTTGTCCATCTAAAGTCGAACACCCACTACAAAAACCCACACTTCTGACCTTTAAGACCAACACCTAAGCCCTCAGCTATTTCCAAACAACACCTAACCCCCAACACCCAACAAAGGTACCACCTGAACACCTCCAAACAACACCTTGGCCAAAACACCACCATAAAAAAGGAGAAGAAGATTGAAAAACAATAGGGTTCAAGCTTATTAGAGAACAAGAAAAGGAGCAAAAAGAAGAAGAAAACGAGTCCAGCTGACCGCTATGGCTAAGGCAGCGGCCGCTGACCAACGGTGAAGTCCGGGAGGAAGCTTTTAGAGAGAGAGAGAAAGAGAGAGAGAGAAAGGAAGATGATGAGGAGGTTTTTTTTAAACATATAAAATTTATGAATTCACTAAATACTAACAACTATAAGAAGAGAGATCTATTTATAAATCTCATTTGGAGAACTTATAGCCCAATAAGTCCATAAAGTTTTCTTGTGTTCGACCTAGTCCTATATATTTAGACTTATACCATAGGAGACCCTTTTTTTCCTTATTTGTAATATTTTTGGGACTAATATACCCTTTGTTCCATTTTTAATAGTAAGTATTACACACAATTGTAATGTTTTTGTTTCCTTTTTTTTGTTTTGACAGTTTTAAAATTAGTGGGATAGGTTTTTTTAAAACCTAAATATATATTATTAAATTATAATATTGACAAGAAAACATAGTCGAAAAAGAATCTTATAGCATAAAGAAACTTCCTCTCATACTCTCTCTCATGCTTTATCTCTCTTTAACTTGTCCATTTGAGAATTAGGAAAAATCACAAAACAAAAAAAACACAAAGAGATGAATTAGGTGATGATTACCAAAGAAAGAACAAGCTAGAAGAAAACCAGAAAGGAGCTCATCATCATCACCATCACCATCACCATCACCATCAACATCATTCTTCCATCGTTGCAATTCCAAACTATGTGTTCTTACACAATTACTTTTCGAAACTCTGTGGTTTTTCATTATTGTAGTGTGAAACTCTATTTTCTTCCATTTAGATATCATAAGGGCAAGGTTAGCGTCATTTTTGTTTTGCAATTGCATATAGGTATGCGTTGGTACGGATATATGTTCGAAATTGTTCAATAATTTATTAAAGTTGGATTCAACTTTTTATTTCGAAATGGATTGATATGGTGTTATATATCCGTGTATATATTTGATTGGGTATTTTTATGAATGTAATGCACACATCCACTAAAGTCATTATTGTTGTAAATTATCAGATTTCAATGTTTTGCATTTGGTGGTGTGAATTTCAGCATTAGAAACGTGTGATGGTTGCATAATGTACAATGTAGACTGATGATTACATGATTGTCACATAATGTGAATGTTCACGTTCACATATCATTGATTATTGTATAAGTTTTCATGATTTTTGCATGATTGTTACATGATGTAAAAGTTCACATTGGTGTTATGATTATCATATCTTTAATGAATATTAATATTCACAACTAGAAATAGTTATATAACAATGTAATATTTTGGTTACAACATATTGTGCATCATAATAATATAACATAGAGATGTGAATGTTTATATCAAGATTGCATTTATCGCAATGCACATTAAATGGTTATATGCACACAATAACAAACGATTATCAACAATGTGAATGTTCACAGTGTTTCTATAATACCAAAATAACATGACAACATTGACCATGCATCACTCACAACAAATCACAATTAATATTAATATTCACATTATAAATTCAAAAAGTCAAAAACTCTAAAAATTCTATCAAATGTCGCACATGGGTATGGGACCCACATGGGACCTACATTGCATGGGTCTCACACTCATGTGAGACATTTAGTAGAATTTTTTGGGTCTTTTACTCTTAAAAAATAGTCATACTAGCACAAACAATGTGAATGTTCACAGTGTATGATTCTATGAGGGAATATTATTTATCAATACGCATTTGTAATATGAAAGTTCATAATAATATTTAGTGAGAAATTTTCAAAAATGGATGAATTAAGGTTTTAAGAACGTGAGACATTTTTTCTATGGAATAAATGAGAGATTTTTTTCATAGAATCAGGGAGACATTTTCTTTATGGAATAAGGAAAAGATTTTATCCCTAAAATATAGAGATTCTCCTTGCAATATGAAGATATTTTTTCCATGGAATAAATGAGAAATTTTTTCCATGTAATGAGGGACTATTGTTATTTTTTATCGTGTATTGGTTTCAAAATGAAAATATGTACAAAAAGTTAGAAGGGTGAATCTAATGGAATATTAAAAAAGAAGATGGATTAAATAGAATATAACAATTAGGAATATGACTTTTTGAAAAATGACCTTTATAAAAATTCAATAAATTTTCATATTTTTGTATTTATTAATTTTTTTAATAATTTCTTCATAAATATTTTATTTTTTAATTATATCAAGATTAAATCCATTTATAAAATAAAAATTAGATCAAAGTATTAAAAATAAAAAATATGAATTAAAAATTTAAAAATTATTTTTCTTTGTAGGGTTTTTATGTATAGATTTTGGGAAATTTTACTATAAATACCCTTACCGTATAAACCTCTAAATTATATATATTTTTTCTTCAATTATAATTAATTAATTTTTTAATTATAATTTATAAGATCTTTAATTATACATTATATATATATATATATATATACTGTATATATATTTTAGTTATAATTTTTTATTTATTTTTATTTATAACCTATGTTCATAGTCTTTTTCTAGAATTTTACTCGTTACCATAAAAGGTACAAATGTAAGAGCCTGAATGTTGAAGGGGAGACAAGAATCGAAGAATGGGTTGATACAAAAAACATCAAAAAATTTGCTACACCCATCCCATTAAGTAATTTCTTTCTGATTTGTTCCTCTGTCACCCATTTCATCCCCTCATCGAAATTTAAGATCTCCATTTTTTGTTTTGTATTGTAGCTCAGATATTTGTCGTGATTTCTTGATTTGGATGCTATTTATTAATTTTTAGGTACTTGTTTTGATTTCTGGATTTGGGTGCTATTTAGATTTTGTTTTTTTTTTTTTTAAAGTAATAATTCGTGGGTTTTTGGATTTGTGTGATTTTGAAATAAGGTGTTTATGAATTTTGAGTGTCACTGTGGTTGGGTTGAAGTTTTGGAATAGATTATACAAATGCAGGCATACCCAAATAAACAATGATGTTTCTCTTAGGACTTTGAACAAACACTTAAAATACACAAATGCTTCGTTCCAAAAACCCAAAAATCAAGACCCACAAACCTACAAATTATTACATAAATATGGATAAAAGCACATAAAATCCTTTTTGCGTGGTTGTTGGGAGTTTTTTTTATTTTATTTTATTTTATTTTATATATATATATATATATATATCTAAAATGCAGCCCAGTTAAAATCCTGCTTCTCAATCTTTTATATCGCAGGAATGTCTCTCAATAGCAGAAAAAGAAGAGCAGAGACGCAGATAATCAGCGACAATGAAGCAGAGCAAACCCACAAAGAAGAAAAAGATAAACAACATTGTCAAATGATCAGTCACTATGCTATCCCAGATATCCCATCTCACATTGTCTTCGATATCCTTTCAAGACTCCCAATCAAAGCCCTCTTCAATTGCCGCCGGGTTTGCAAACTCTGGCTCTCTCTAATTGCAGAAACTTATTTTGCCAAGCTCCATTTCTCAAGATCACAGGTTGGCCTCTTGGCCAAAGCTGTCTATGATAAACGGGAATCAAGGAAACTCCATTTGGTCGATCTCCAAATCGCCCCCTACACTCATCCTCGTGATGCCGGAATGAAATTGGCCCCAAAAATCAACCTCCCCAAGAACCCTGGCATCCCAATTATGCTCAACTCATGCAATGGCTTGCTTTGCTTGTGCGAGCCCGGAACCAATGAACCCATTTATGTATGCAATCCCATTTTGGGTGAGTACATTACCCTTCCAAAATGCTCCACTGGCACAATTTGTGGTTGTGGTGGTTCTGCTTTTGGTTTTAGTTCCATCACTAACCAGTACAAGGTGGTTCGGTCCTCCTATCGAGTGGCTATTGACCCTGTGACAGGTTTGCAAATGTCTGGAGACTATGATGAGGCCGAGATATACACGATTGGTGAAGGGTTATGGAGAAGCATTGGAAAAATCCCTTACACTATTGTCAATGACTCTTTTGATTCGCTCCTCAATGGAGCTTTTCATTGGCTTGATTTTGACCATAGTAGGCCGGAGTTGATTTGTTGTTTTGATTTTGGGAGTGAGCAATTCCAGGTTGTTCCTGAACCTTCTGAATTTGTTCCCCTTGAGAAACATTTGTTGGGCTATATGCGTGTGGGAGTGCTACGAGGGTGCCTATCTATATGTGATTTTTCTAAAAAGGATCATGTTGCGATATGGGTGATGAAGGATTATGGGGTTAAGGAATCTTGGAGTAAAGACCTTGTCATCGAAAATATCTATGACAGGAAGGAGTGGGACTGTTACGAACCGATAATGATTTTGAAGAACGGAAAAATATTGATGTTATTTAATAGAAATGCTCTTTTGCTTTATGATCCTATGTTGGAATGCTTCGAGGATGTTCATATCTATGGAATTGGATCAGACTTCCATGGGATTTCTCATGTTCCAAGCTTGGTTTCACTTAGGGATGTTGCAAAAGGAGAACATTTGAAGGTACGCATCTCCAAATTGAGATTATTGTGTGTTATTTGGAGTTTAAATTATGTTTTATGATGTTCCTGTATATGTTTCATCTGATGGAAATTTGCTCCATCTCAAGTTTGTTTCCTATATATGCTGCTGTTGCTTAGCATGTTAATTACATTGTATTCTTGCTTTCTACAAAATGATTGGTTCATCTACTTTCTTTGATTATGTACTATCTCTAGCTGTATATTTGAAACTATGAAAACATTAAGTACATATTTCATTTGTCGTCAAAAGTGTTGGGAAGTGGTGCATCTATTCAGCCCCAGGGCTGACATGTTTATTTGCTAGATGAATATGTTTTTGCAGGATTTTGTGACTAAAATGAATTTTGTCTTCAAATGCTTCATCCTATCCTCTAAGTTGGGGCCTCTTGATTTTTCTATTTGCCACAAGAACTCAACTCTAGAGTGCTTCTTCTTTTGCAAGTTTTTGGCGTAGGATCATGCAAGAGCATAGTAGTAGCTTATGTGGAAGTGATGCCATTTTAATCAGGAAAATGTTGTACAAATTAACAAAATTTACAATCTTTTCTTACTCACAGATGTGGCATGTAGTAAGGGAACTTTGGTATTTGAAATAGGACCTATTAGAATAGAATAATGTGATAGGGACAACCCAAGCATCTTTTTACTCACAGATGTGGCATGTAGTAATGGAACTTTGGTATTTGAAATAGGGAACTTAAAGAAAATTGTGATAGGGACAACTCAAGAGTCTTTTTTAGTTTTGGTCAAGAGTCTTGATTAGTTGTTGGTAATAGTTACATTTAGTGGCAGAGTCACTTGAGGGCTCTGGGGAGAACTTGGTTTCTCTCAATTTTATAAAAATTACATTTTTAGTTATAGTTATAGTAAAGTTTTTCAAGGCATATTTCTTATTTTATTTTAAAAAAAAAATCCCTTTAATTTGCCTCTTTAAAAGTTTATTTTGTTGAAAAATCCCCTTTCATATATTCTCTCCATTCAAACTACTCTCATTTTTTTTATTGTCCGCTACAGGTTTGAATTGATTGAAATTGGTGGAATTCAAAAGTTCAAGAAAAATAGTTTACTATACTAGCTAATAGTTTATATTGAGCATCTTTTAAAGTTTTCTTCTCATAGCTTGAAGTAAATCTAGTAAAATTTACTTGCTTAGCTTCAGTCATCAGTCTATGGGTGGGTTGTATCTTGAATTTTAAGTTACTTTGTCTTCCTTTGAATTTTAGTCTAGTGTGTCTTTATATTGTTGTTCTCATGAGTCGGGATCAGGTTTGGCAAGGGGTGGTGGCAACTCTTGTTTCAAGCTATTTTTGCCCCTTCTGAATAAATTTTCTGGCTCTACCACAGGTTACAACCTAGTAATCATAGTTTGGAAGTTGTGTTTTGGATGTTTAGTAAGTTGCATTTGTTTGGAAATTGTATAGCATTAATTTAAGCCTCAAGTGTTGAAATCATGTACTTAACTATATCTTAAGCTTTTATTGTCACAGGTCTGGAAAATAAATAAACTTATATAAGTTTAGCTGTTCCCCTAGTCCTTACATCCCTAATTCTGTTCAGCTCCGAGTCTCCTTTCAGTTAGGGATCTCACCCTCTAGTCATATTGGAAAATATTAGGAATAGATCTTGACATTGTAGTAGCTGTTGAGAGATTTTTCAATCACTCTTGAACAAAGTCATGTTAAGATGTTAGGGCTCAATGACTTCTCTTCTAAATAAGGCGTGTTGAGCTACTCTTGTCAAATCTATTATCTCATCCCTCGTTCATTATCTTTCTGTCTATCATCTTCTTAGGTTTCTTTGCAAATCCCAAGTATTGGGGTTTAAGGATGTTATTCACTTGGGTTTTTCTTACTAAGCTAGGTTGGAGAATTTTTACAAATCCTGAGACATTGTTCTGCTCTTTCTTTAGACCTAAATACTGTCACAACTCCTCTCTTTTTCATGCTTCTCCTTCTCCCTCTTGTTTGTGGTTTTGAAGGAGTGTTCTCTATGGTAGACAAGTCCTTTGCAAGGCTATGTTGGTAAGTTGGTAGTTGGCATTCTATCTCAATTTGGATTGAATGCTAGATTCCAAACTGCCCCGACACAACCTGACTTAATACATTTCCCCCTCCTACTCTCACTCTTCCCAACAACCTACCTAACTGTCTGAGCTTTTATTTCCTAATTCTAACTCTTGGAGTTTACACCTCCTTTCCTCCATTGGCTTGCCCTATGTTGTTTCGACCATTTCTTCTCTTCCTCTATCACTTTATGAATTTCATGAGAGGTTGGTCTTATTCTTCCTCAATTCATTGCTGTTAAATCTGCTTATAATCTTCTGTGCTCTAACACTGTTCCCCCCCAATCTTCTTTTCGATTCCCCTCTGGTTCCACTTGTAACATTAGCGTTTGGTTCACCATTTGGAGCCTTCCTCTTCCTTTCATACTGCACGTCTTTCTTTTGCAAGTCTACCACAAATTCACAATAGGTTTACCCTTCGTGCTCCTAAGATTAAATAATTATTATTGAATTAGAGTTTAAGTTTGGTTAGGATTTTAATATTTGATTTCTTATTCTATTAGGATTCAATTTTCTAGTTTGTTTAGGTTTCTTGATACATAAATATTATGGTTTACATTGCATTATTTAGCTTTTGAATAATGAGAATTTGAGTGTTTAGGCTCTGATACCAATTCATGTAGTTTTAGCTTTTGAATAATGAGAATTTGAGTGTAAAGGCTCTGATACCAATTGATGTAACTTTCTTTCATAAGGTGTCCTACATCACCTATCCAATGGGTAAATAAGCATCATCCGGGTCAAATTTGATACACACATACAACAATTTCTTATGCAATGAGGTTCTTGATTCTGTCGAATAATTTATATAATATCAATGAGAAATTAAAAGAGGTAGGGTGATTTTGATTCTTAACTTGTTTGCAAATTGTGTTGCTTGGAGTGAGTGATTCGTCCTATAATCAAGTGTGTGGCTTGGTTGCATTTGTGAATCCCAAGGCCTATCCTGTCTTCATTGCAGGTATCGGCCTGCATCAGTATCGACTATGGCCCTGTGGTATGTTAAGTATTCCTTCATGATCACATGCAGAAGATAAAGACAAACTAAAACTAGAGTATTGTTATGTTAACAATGGAGGTCACCTTGCCACATATAGGCATTTTGGCTTGGACATAATTCGACATTCGAATGCAGATAGTGGAGCAAATGAGTCAACAGTAGAATAACTGAGGATTAATCTGATGCTTTTCAAAGCAATGGGAACCAATCATTGGATATGGTTTGACATTTGTATGCAAAAAGTGGAGCAAATGTGTGAACAGTAGTATAATTAAGCATTGGGAACCAATCACATTTTTGTGATTATTCATATTTTTAAATCTGATTGGTAGGTGATGATAATTTTGAAGCAGTGTAGAGTGCTTGGTCACTCTATTTCTGATGAACAGAATATGTGGCAACTGTGTCTCACTCCTCATGTACTTCTAGCTCTGAACCCTTCAATATTACATTATCAAATGGGGTGCTTGTTAGGGAAGATGAAAAGCAAGTTAATTAGATTAATTAGTATTCAGTACTGACTACTACTTAATGCTTTGCTGTTTCATGCCTACTAATTTGATTTGATGCGTGTTCAAATATCATGGTGGAATCTCTTAGTTCATTATTGTCAGACAAAAGTACGGAAAATTACCACATGATGTATGATCAACTTCTGTTATTTTGGTTCTTTTTTCTGGCATCTTTTTGGTTTGTTGGCATTTATTCGTTTTTTTTAATGGGAAAAACTTTAGGTTCTTGGTTTCGTACTTGATTGTCCAGTAAGCTTTTCGATCTCACTAATAAGAAATATTGATTGGTGAATATTTCTCATGTTTATACACTGATCAAAGGCTGATGTCTTAACATGAAAATTCATCAATTGATGTGCCACAAGTGGTTAATGTTTTTTTTTTACATTCATTTGTTTGATAGTTTCTTTAATTTGATGCATTTGAAAGCCGCTGTAACTTAAACCCAACTTTTTATCTACAGAAACCGCTCCTTTTGGCAGTACTAGGAGTTTTGAGTTGGAGACAGATTTTGAAACTCACATGTCATAACCTATAAAGTGTAGACATGATTTGATTGATTTACTTAGGCCTGTTTTTGTTACGAAGCAGTGTGGTTTCAATTCTCTATAATAACGTGGTCAAATAGCGCAATTAGTTGCTTATGGAATAATAATCATTGTGAATAAATACACGTGAAGTGTTGAACTCCTAGATTTTGGAAACGAGTTATATGTGATGACTAAAAAGAAAACTGTTTTTGAAAATTTTAAATTAATTTGTCTTGCTGACTTTTAAAATTTATAATCCAATGATACAGATGTGCAGAGCCTGAGATGTTGAAATTGAGTTGGCCATTTTGGGAAGATGTACAAATAAACAGAGCTCTTACAGTGTTGCTTCGGAAAGCGGAGGTCGCCTTTTGTTCATAGCTGTGCTGGAGCTTCTTGAAAGAGTGAAGCAAGCCAGACTTACTGCATTGTCTTTTTGAAACACTTTACTTTTGATGCCATTCCAATTTTCATATAGATTTCAATTGGTGCTGGTTTTTTTTTTCAGTTAGAATATGATGAATTTGCTGTCTGGTTCTAGTTCTCTGCCATGGAATTTGAAAGCAAAAAATTACTGGGACCTTGAATTTATTGATCTTTCTTTGCCAGCGACTACTTAAAAGTTTGACTCAGTGATGGTTCAAAAATAAATATTTCATGATTAGAATACTTTAATATATTGTTGTTTGGTAATTTACACTGGCCACTTTTGTTAGTTTAGAAAAATTACATATGATTTCTAAGTTTGGCATAATTATATCGTCATTTCTTATAATAAGGCTAAAATATTCAAAATTAATGAAGATAGTTGTAGATATATGGATAAAAAAAAAAAGGGTTAAATATATGTTTTAGTATAAAAGATATAAATATTATTTTTTCATTAATATGACAAATGATGTAAAGGTATTTAAATATTATGTAAATTAAAATTTAATAGAGTCTAGTGTAATTATGTCAATTTAGCCCCAAATGTTTACAAGTATTTTAATTTGGTCTTTAATGTATGAAAGTGTTTTAATTTAGTCAGTAATATTTAAATTGTGTCAATTTGATTTTTAATGTATAATATTTTGGAGATTAAATTGATATAAGTTCTGTTTCCAAAAAAAAACAATTGATATAAGTCCAACTGTTGACTTTTTGTTCCCTTAGATTCTCATAAAATATAAAATGACTTGAATGTGACTATGAGAGAAGAAAAAATTTAGAAACATATAAATCAATTGTACAATTAAAAACAATTCATTTAAAATAAATTAAAAATTATGTATAATTTTGTGATTAATTTATAGGGCAAATTTTACTTTTTCCCTCTATGGTTTAAGCCATGTGCGGATCAACTCCCTCACTTTCAAATATAACCACATAACCCCCATGTAATTGATGGAGTAATGTGCACCGTTAACACCGTGAATAGCAGACGTAAAAAGATCAATTTGCCGTTGTATATATATATCGAAGCTTGCTCACCAGTTTCACTTCCAAAAGTTGTGCATCTGAGAAGAGGAAAGTGAAGAGAATTAGGGTTGTTCGATTGAACAGATTAGGGTTTAAATCGAACGAAATAGTGTATAGATTTGAGACAGTAGGGCTTCAATTGTTCGATTGTCACTGATTTGGAGATTTACGAAGCAAACGAAGTCCAAAAGTTCACGAAGAATAAGTTGTAAAATATTTTTTCGATCATTGCTTTTTATTTTGTGTTTCATTCGGTTCGATTTGCTGATATATATATATATATATGTATATAAAATGTTAGTCGATGTACTTTTTGTTGCTATATACTGTGGTCCTGTATGTTTTGTATATCAGGGTTTGTGTGCCTCCTTTTTTCGTATCATTAATGGTTAACTTTTTGTCATGGCACTGTGTGCGATGCAGTTATTCATATCGTGTTGTTGTGGTGGTTTTTTTGTATATATAAAGTTCATATACTGTGGTCCTCTATGGTTATTTGTTTATTTGTAGTGAATGATGTGAGTGTATTACTTTGTTTGTTTATTGTCATTGTGTTTTGTGTGGGGTATGCACTGAAAATGTGAAGTTTATCCCTAATCCTCAGTATATTACTTTGTTTGTTTCCTTCTTCAATTAACTTTTAACTTTATGCCTAAAGAATAGGTTTTTTTAATTCTATTACTTTATGCTTTTATATTCTGTTTCTATTTTGTGTGATCTGTTCGAGGATTAGGGATTATTTATTATTTTAGTTTATGTTGGTTACATACATGACTATATCTTTGTTTAGGGTTGTGGGTTGTGGTCTCAAAATGTATTGATGAAAGTCTTTTCTACTTTAGGAGTGAATGTTGAAAATGTCAGACAAATTCATAACTGTTCAAATGCACCATGGGGGCCATTTTGTCTTTCATTCACATGTTGTTTATGAGGGTGGTAGGATGAATGAAATAATTAATTGTGACCTTGACAAAATGTCTATATTTGAGTTAAGAGATCTTTATTATGACCTAGTTCGTGGAAAAGGAGCAAACATAGATATGTACTATACATGGCCTGGTTATAGTGTAGATGTTGGGTTGAAAGCAATGTACAGTGATGCTGATGTGATGAAAATTCTTAAGGCTTATAAAGGTTTGGATTATGTAGTAGTTTATGTAGAGAAGGTGGTAGATCCTATTATGGTTTTGTCATCCAATGGTAAGTTGTTGTCAGATCTCAATGGTGCAGAACAGGGCGGTAATGCCATAGGGGGTGGTAATGCCATAGGTGGTGGTAACACAGAACAGGGTGGTAATGTCATATGTGGTACTGACACAGATATTATTGACATAAACTTGTCTGATATTGACATCATAGTTGATGACATTGGGAATGACTCAGATGATAGTGCAGAGGTAGCTGAGAGTGAGGATGTGGGTAAGGGGTGTGAGGGTAGTGATACACAACATGTGGGTAATGATACACAATATGAGGAGGGGTTGCAGCATACTACTGACACTGAGTCTGTAGAAGGTAATGAGGCTGATGAGAGTGACAGTGCACAGAGTGAGACTGAATTTTTAGCTGATGAAGACAGAATTGATAGTGATGATTCTAAGGACTTGGACTATATAGTTAGTGAAGAATATTGTGACACTGAGACTTCTGAGGATAGTGCAAAGGAAAGTGATGACCAAAGTTGGTTGTATAAAGACCTAAAGGGTCCAAATGATGACATTTTTGATGAAACCTCACATAGAAGAACTGAAGGACCACCACCTAAAGTTAATCTACCAGATGATGTTGGTTGGTATTCAGATGTTGATGATGATGATAAATTGAATAGTCTTAAAGGGTCATCAGATGAGGCAGATGATGCTAGATACCCAGAATACAAAGAATGTATGATGAAGAATCCCAAACTTGTAGTTGGAATGAAATTACCCAATCCCCAAGTTTTCAGAGAGTATTTGAAGGAGTTTAATGTAGTGTATGGTTATGATATAAGGTACATCAGAAATGAGAATGCTAGGATCGCTGCTGTTTGTAGGCATGGTTGTACTTGGAGGATACATGCCTCTCTATTTGGAGGAACCCCAACTTTTCAGATCAAAACTCTAGAGGGGAAACACACATGTGAGAGGAATTACAGTAACAAACAAGCCAACTCTAAGTACTTGGGGAAGAAGTTCGTAGATGTGGCGAGAGATGACCCCTCCATTAACATAGCCTCTTTCAAGAAAAAAATTAGAAAATAGATAATTGTGGATGCAAGTAGGTTTCAAATATATAGGGCAAAGAGAAAGGTAAGGGAGATAATTGTAGGGGATTTGGCAAAGTAATATCACAGGATTAGGGATTATGCAGCTACAGTTGTTAGGAAAAATCCAACCTCACACATTTCAATGACAACTAATCTTGAAAAGACAGAGCCTACATTTGAAATAATGTATTTCAGACTTGGTGCACAGAAAGATGGATTTCTAGCAAGGTGTAGACTAATAATAGGACTAGATGGTTGTCATTTGAAAGGGATTTTTGGAGGGCAGCTACTCAGTGCTATTGGTAGAGATAGAAATGATAACATGTATCCTATTATAGTGGCTTTGGTTAAGATAGAATGTAAAGCCTCTTGGTCTTGATTTTTTCAGGAATTGATGAGTGATATTGGGAGTGTTAAGGAGATGGGTGTTTATATCAGATAGACAGAAGGGGTTGGTTGAAACATTTGCAGAGTTATACCCTATTGCAGATCACAGATACTGCTTGAGACATATGTATAGTAACTTCAAGACAAAATACAGTGGTTGTATATTGAAAGACCTATTCTGGAAAGCTGCATCAACTTGGAAATGTGTATGAATTCAATTATTGGATGAAGAAGATCGAAGAAGCTGATCCTAAGACTGGAAATAGGAAGATAGTTGTGGAATGGTTGAGGGAGACTGACCCTACTTTGTGGGCAAGGTCACATTTTTCTCCAAGGAGCAAGTGTGACATCCTTGCAAACAATTGGAGTGAGTCATTCAATTCTTATATTCTATAAGCTAGACAGCTACCAATAATCTCGATATTTGAATGGATCAAAAGGAAATTGATGCAAAGGATTCAAGTTAAAAATGCTGGAATGGCAAAATATAATGGTGAAATTTGTCCAAATATTCATGACAAACTTGAGAAGTTGAAGGTGGAATCAAGGAACTGCTTTGCAACCTGGTGTGGCAATTGGAATTTGAGGTTGATCATTTTTAGAGGAGGTACATAGTGGACCTAAGTACTAGGATATGCAGTTGTAAAAGATGAGATTTGTCTGGTTTGCCTTGTAATCATGCCATTAGTGCAATTCAAATCAATCATGAGCAGCCAGAAGCCTATGTTCATGAGTATTACAGCAAGTCTAGGTACTTGGATACTTATGCATTCATGATACACCTAGTTCCAGACATGCATGAGTACGAGGAAGGTGGCCAGAAATTGAATCCACCAGAAGCAAAGAAATTAGCAAGCAGACCAAAGAAGTTAAGAAATAGACAAGTATATGAGCCAAGAAATCCACACAAGGCATCAAGGAAGAACATTAATGTCACATGTGCTAAGTGTCTACAGAAGGGGCACAATCAGAGGTCATGTAAGAACAAACTGCATCCTAAGTCCAAATTGGTGAAGGTTAGTGTATACTTATGCATTCATTTATTGTACACATGTTGTTATTTGTTTGTTATATACTTAATTTATTGTATACGTAATTTGTTTGTTGCAGCAGAGATGTACTACTGGGCAATCATCTCAACCTGCATTAACTCCTACTCCTGCTCCTACACCTACTTCTACTCCTACTCCATCAACAAACATTCCATCAAATGAGGTAACCAATTTTCAATGTTGACTTGTAACTTCAAGTAGGAAACTAACTGGAAATTTTTTTGCCTCAGATGTCCAGTAACATCCAAACTAGAAGAGGAGGCCAAGCAACATCTCAGCCACCAATGAGTACTACTTCTATTGGACTGAAGAGAAGGAGTACTAGGTCATCCACTCAAGTAACTTACTTGTTTATATAACTAACTTTTTAATTTTGTAACTTTTCAGTTTGTTAATTGAAAATGTTGTTGCAGCCTATAAAACTACCAACCCATGGTGGAAAGGCATCAAGTGGTCCCTGCAAAGGACCTGAAATCATAGTTGGTGGGAGGGGTAGAGGTAGAGGA